AAATAACTGCTGTTCATTCACTTTCTATTCATTAAAGAATCCTGAAAATGTATAACGTTTTCCACAAAAATATTAAGCAGCAAAAACAATTTTCAACACTGATAATAATAAGAACCATTATTAATAACTAGGCCCCAATAATAACTGATATTAACCAAATCAGCAAACATTTCAGAAGGATCATGTGACACTGAAGACTAGATTAATGACTGCTAAAAATTCAGCTCTGCCATCACAGGAATAAAGTATATTTTAAAATGTATGAAAATAGAAAACAGTTGTTTTCAATTGAAACAATATTACTGTTTTTTGATCAAATAAATGCAGTCCTGGTGAGTGTAAGAGACTTTTTCAAAAACATATAAGCTGCAATTATTACAAACATATGACCTGTAGTAGTTTGTTGCTCTGTGATGAAGGGTGGAGGATTCATGACTGTTTGCTTATTTAATTTGCTCCTTAAACTGAGCCCAGACATTCGTTTGGCTATGACTGTGGTCGGAGAGGGAACGTACAGCTGTTGGATGAGCATACGTTGGCCTTCATAGCCGGGAATCTGCTTATCCTATTGGATGTGCACACCAAAAAGCAGCATTACATCCGCTCTAGCAGTGGGGGAGGCATCGGAGCCATTATGGTATATTACTGTTATTTATATGACTATATGTGAATGAAAACTGCTAGGGCAAATTAAAATATCAACAGCAACAGAAAAAAAAGAAGAAAAGAATGGCCTAATACATGAGTGTATGAGCAACATGAGAAAAGTCATAGCACCTATCAGGCTTTGTGGACCTGATGACCTAATATATAATTTCTCTCTTCAAAGACTCATCCAAGTAAGCAGTATCTTGCAGTGGCAGAGAAAGGCCATCAGCCTAACATCATCATATATGAGTACCCGTCCCTGCAGCCTTACAGGATCCTCAGAGGTAGGACATCAGAGGCAGCTCAGATGGCCTACGACAACATTACTTAAATTTGAACGAGACGTGGTTTGAGATAGAAGCATACATGCATAATTTTAGTGTGTTTGTGTTTCATTTGAAGGTGGCACAGGCAGTGAATACAGCTTTGTGGATTTTAATCGTGATGGCTCTTTACTGGCCAGTGTGGGTGGAGCTCCAGACTACATGCTTACGCTGTGGGACTGGAGGCAGGAACAGGTGACACTGTGCAATAAAGCTTTTTCTCAGGATGTCTACAGGGTCACCTTTTCACCCGACTGCATTGGACAACTCACTACATCTGGCACTGGGCACATTAGGTTTGTATTACTGTCATTTTTTCACTTATGTATTTGCATTTAATAACTTTTTATTTTTTATGAAAAAATATTTATATATATATATTAAGGTTGGAAGGTTTGGGGTCAGTAAC